CTGTTTTGACACTCCGAGTGGATGACAAATGGGCCCATCTATATCTATGAAATGTGGGTTCAGTGTCATTATAGCAAAGGTTAATATTTACAGTGTCATAATTGCAAAGCAAAGGTTAATGTTTGCAGTGTCATAATTGCAAATCCCCCACCGTAATCTGGGGTATGCAAAATAGTAGTTATGAAAAGTTCGGAGAAATATCAACAAAGGTGATTACGTCCGATTTTTTTAATCTAAACACATGCAGCCCTTTTATTATGTATTTGAGCACACGATATTCGTAATTCCATTTCTAAACATGTACTACATGTACAGGACCACGTTGATGTAGGATTGAATCACAATAACTAAGCCAACCAGAGAGGGGTGAATGATTGGTATACCCAAAAACCGAAAACTTTTAGCAGAAATAAAAGTTACCCTCGAAATCGACGGATCGCGGTCTGACCGAAGTTGTCCTGCCGGTCTGACCGCCTGGTTGCCATCGGTCTGACCACGATTATATATCCAGTCCGACCGCCGAGATCAGCTGCTGCTCGCTGTCGCCGCTGTTGGCTGACCGCCGTGCTCCCGCCGGTCTGACCGCCGCTTGTCGCCGGTCTGACCGCCGGTAGATCACTGGTTAGACCGCCGAAACCTGGTAAACATAAATCGAAGAACTCTTAAAGTGGATGACGACTTTATTGATTCTCTCTGTGTTTACAAAGTGCACCAACAACACTCCTTACAAAAATTTCGACTAAACTCGAAACCCTAACTCAAAACTCAACTCGATTGCTCTCAAAAACGATACCGGGAAGCCTCACGCTCCCCCTCTATTTATACATGAGGTAGGCAGCCTAAAGCTACGAACAAAACTTATACTAAGAGTCCTAAACACTTTAGGAAACCCTCTAGTTCAAGAAAGAAACTTTACATAACCAATCGTACCAAATTTGGACTCCTTCCAAATTCGACTCCACATCCCATACGCACACAATACCTCCATCATATGCCATATGGAATCTCCATCAACCACGTGCATCAACTCTAGCCTAAGTATCCCGCATGATCTCTGACCACCACGGACATCGTCTTATCCCCAAGCCGACTCCCGGTCCATCACCGCAAATACTCTCCCGAGACATCGAGTCACCTACACATGGAACAAACAAAGAAACCATATTCCGAGACCAAGTTATCTTCAACTTGACTCATTGTTAGCAAACAACAGTATTACATACGTATAGTATCCATCTAGAAGTCATAATCATGAAATAATCATGGATATCCAAACAAACAACCCGAAACCGAAACTGACACAGTGTCGGCCGGTCTGACCGCGCGCATACCGCCGGTCCAACCGACTACAAGAGCCTGGTCTGACCACGCGCATACCGCCGGTCCGACCAGCTACCAGAGCTCGGTCTGACCGGTCACATGAAATAATGAATCCTGCGATCACATATGAAATCCAATCATCTCCAAAACTACTTCGTAAATAAATTCCAAATAACAAAACCAATAATCTCCGATGTCCAATTATTCATCACAGAATAATCATCAAAAACACCTTTGATTTTACAGTCAATCCCTCAATCTAATGCCTAACAAAATAAATGGACCAATAACGTCCACAAGTTAGCAGCCCGGTAATGTAAACTCATTTATTTGTAAACTAGTAGCAATTTTTTTAGGTCTATTAGCTTGCTATATTCAGATTATACTTTAAAAAATGTGTAACAATGATTTGTAAAAGCAAAATACCATATTTTGAACCATACTTAATAAATATGTCAAACATTAATACAAAGTAACAAAACTCAATTCAGTGGCCTAGCTATTATTTTGTTGGACATTATATTATGGAACAACGCTTGGACATTATGTTATGGAACAACGCCTGCACTTGCGTCTTGTCTACGGATTGAAATATAGGTTTGACCTGCTTATATTTGGAATTAAATTGACGCATGTGCTTACATGTAAAAAAAATCAGTGATTGCGCCATTCATCTTTTTTAAAAAAATTCAATTAAATATATAAAAAATAAAAGGACAATTATGTTTTTTCTCCCTCTGTTAAGGTTGAATTTAGATTTGAATTATGCAGAGTGACAGTTGCTTATAACCCTTAGTACATTCTCTCAGAATTTTCAACGACTATTTGTAGGTTTTTTTTTTTTTTTTTACAAATGAAAGATGGTTATCGTAGGGCAACTTTACGAATAGGCGGACCTATATAACTAAGATGTCAATTTTAAGTAAATTTTACTATACATCACTTTGCTATTTCGCTTTTAGACCACCATTTAACTAATGTTTTTACTTTGGATCGGATAATCTTACATTTGTGATACTTTGGACCACTGTTAACTCTTTTACCCCCATCTATTTTCAACTTGTCATATGTCAAATAAACGATCTACATATAACTACACGAGTTTATTGACGAGTAGAAGCTGCCATACTCGAAATTATTCTTATACTACTTACAGTACTACAATTTGCTCCGTAGGTTATAGATACTCATAAATCATTAATCAAAATTATTTTTACTAGCGATAATATAGAACTACCAACAAACACCACAGTAAATATACTCTTTTTTGGATGAAAATTAATGTTTTTCTACCTTGTCTTCCACGCCCGTTTTCACCTGATATAATTCTACTTTTTCTATACTTACACAGTTTGTTCATACAAAAGAAAGAGAAGCTAGCTTAGCTAATGAGGAGAAACGACGATGCTACAACCTATGTAATCACTAGAGATCTTGGGTATACAATCACCAGAGATCTTGGGTATACAATCTTATCTACATAAAGTGCGTGAGCAAGCTAGTTAGATGGAGCATAATTATATTACTGACGGATCAGGAGAAGGTGTAGAAAAGAAACTAGGAGATATTGCTGTTCCAACCACCATAAACATGTCGGCCTGCAACAGCAAATCCACCTTAATTATTAATTCGATGGGCATGCTCTACCACTCTTACCACGTGGATGGTAGTTGTTCACATAAGAATGCCCCATAGCTTTGGTACAGTAGCTTAATTCTATTCCACTATATATATAGATATATATATATATATATATATGCCTCAGCACTGTGCTAATTAATTACTACATTATTAGCTTAATCTGGTACTTACAACAAACATTTTGGGTGCACACATCACCAATATTTCATATCTATATATGCACATACCGAATCTTTGGTGAGAAGACATATCATACCTTTCTCACAACCGCTAGATGTACAAATCTGTACAAACATAATAAGTCCTGGAAATATAAAGAACAAAACATATCATACCTTTTTCACAACCGCTAGCTGTACAAATCTGTACAAACATAAATCCTGGAAATATAAAGAAAAAAATGCAGAGACAAGCACAGTGTTCAGTGTGCGAGAGTGGCCATTATTTCCTGAAGAAACCAACCGATGCTTGGTGGCTACTGAAAGATGAAAGATCAGGAGTGGTTTGCTGCTCAAACAGCTGAAAACGGCATGATTAATTTTCACACATTATATGCAACATCAACATGCTACGGCAATTAATCCAAAAAGAAGCTCGATCCTGCTCTGCTTAGAAATATGCTTGCAACAAAATAATGGTTTCAGTGTCAGTGTACCAGTGTGGGGAGTAAATTATGTTCGATCTGGACATGTCGGTTTGAATTGATTTCTTGTGGTCCGAGATTTTCCTGGATTTAAGATGGGTGGTGTTATGAGCACATGGTTGACCTGGATGCTGAGTTTAGCCCACCCTAATCTGGTCAGCAGTCATGACAAAATCAGCCAAATTTCATGACAGAGAAGAGAGATCAGAGATGCATGGCAATTAGCTTAAGCATTTGTCTAGTACAGTAGTACGGGCTGACATGGAAGAAGCAATGACAAATGCTATTCCTTCCCCCCATCATCTGAACATCATTAGTACTTAATTAATGTCGACATTATCAAAAGGATGATGGGTCAACAAATTTGATACGGAGTAGTATTAATTCGTACTTGGAGAAAGTTGCATATAGCAATTTAATTATTGATATGCACCATGTTGAAAGTGGCATATCATTAGCATTATAATGAGAAGCGTGATTAATTTATGCCTTGATTAGTCATGTTTTTGTTGAAAAAATCGTCTTGGCTGTTAACATGGCCTTTTTTTTTTATGTAATGGATAGCGTGTGTAATTAAACACGTTAGCGTCCGATGGCCTTTTAAGGATCCGATGGCTTGAAGCTCCTTGGTTTATGACTTTATTCTGCTGGCTTAATAGTTCATGAATATGTTGTACACCATACTCAAGGTCAATAGAGGCAGTTTTGCGAACTTGATCTTGCCAATACTATTCATCTCTAACCTCCTTTTGGATATCAACCAGGTTTTGAAAATGTAACTTAGACATTTAATTTCTATGGCAAGCCATTTGAAAAACTAGACAAAATTACAATATCACGAATAAATTTTTCAAGGAAAATATGCATATATATTTTTTTCTACAAAGGAAGTATAACTTTTGACTTCTATACCAACTAAAAATGTACACAACCATATACACCAGAATTTTAACCTTGATGGTTGAAGTCATACACTCACAACTTCACTACCGCATCAATGATGCTTCCCCAAATTTACATTATATCGTTTTCTTTACATCCAATCTAAATATTTATAAATCTATTGAAGTTTAATTTTCTTTTAAAGTTTGACTTGAAACATGCCCAAAATGACATGTTTCTGCGAAAAAGAGGGAGAACTGTCCATTCATGTCAGTGAGAGACAAGCACAAGGTGCCACATAGCTGGGGGACCCAAAGCAACCTGCCCTCCAAAACATGATACTCTCATGACAGCTCTATCAGATCATAAGAAATTTGCAACATGCTCTGCTCTCTCATCCTCATGACAGTAGGCACTCCTCACTGTAATCCACCAAGTAATTAAAAAAAATCTACACTTTTTCAAATTGTTGCTGCTCTGTGCTAGCCTTTTCATATTGAACTTCCACCTCTCCATGCATGCAGAGCAGCAGGAGCCTCATTACTTCTCATTACTCCACTTGCCAATAGTCACCTCTCTCTCTCACTCACTCTCCCTTCTTCTACCTCCAATCTCAAAGCCTCTCTCTCGTCCTCTTCTATGGCAAGCTTGGACTGTAGAGTAGTACAAGTACATTGCCCACAGTACTAGTCTAGTACCATCTGTTGCTGGAAAATCCTCCTCCTTGCAAGCATTTCTTGGGTTCTCTTTTCTTTTCTTTTCTTTTCTCCTGGAGTTTTTGTTGATTCATCACAACAACCACCATCCATCCAGCCAGCCAGCCAGCCACATCATATGTCCTCACCAGAATCCAAAATTTTCATCACACCAAACCATCCACCGCTCATCACTTTTCCCCCAAGCAAATCCAATCTTTGCAACCACATTGTTGTTGTTTCTCCCCCACAACATCCTCTTCCTTTTCTTTCCTTTTTTTTTTCCCGTTTTTGCGTCCAATCGCCCAACGAATCCAACCAAATTCGCTGTTCTTGCCTTCTTCTTTTGTGTTCAAGAATCCAAAAGTTGATGTTGTTTTGAGCTCAATTTTGCTCGAGAAAAGCTCGAGGAAGGTGCTCCCATGTCGGACTCGGAGCTGTCCCAGAGCACGGTGGTGTTCGGGCTCCGCATGTGGGTGCTCGTCGGCGTGGCCGTCGGCGCGGCGTTCGTGCTGTTCCTCGTGCTCCTCTCCGTGCTATGCCTCCTCGCTTCTCGCCGCCGCCGGCGGCGGCGGGGGCCGAACACCTCCCCGGTGCAGCAGCTCCCCGTCTCCGCCCCGCCCAAGAACCCCCAGAAGGTCAAGGCGCCCAAGGACATCCAGGAAGTCCCCGCCCAGGCCACCGCCGCCGCCGCGGCGAAGACGCCGCTCGCCCAGGTGCTCCAGATGCCCGCGCCGCCGCCGCCGCCGCCGCCGATGGCGGCGGCGGCACCGCCTCCGGAGACCGTCCAGATCGCCACCGGCAAGGAGCACCGCATTACGTACCCGGAGCCGCCGCACCGCAGCGGCTCGTCGTCGCACGGCAGCGGCGAGGCGCCGTCGGTGCCGGAGGTGTCCCACCTCGGGTGGGGCCACTGGTACACGCTCAAGGAGCTGGAGGCGGCGACCGAGATGTTCGCCGACGAGAACGTGATCGGCGAGGGCGGGTACGGCATCGTGTACCACGGCGTGCTCGAGAACGGCACCCAGGTCGCCGTCAAGAACTTGCTCAACAACAGGTACCCTACCACTAATAGTAGTCAACTCCGTTGCACTGAAATTACTACAGCTACCCAACTTGATTGTCTTCGTGTGATTGCCACGGGGATTGATCATCCAAGAACAGGTTTGTGGCGTCAATTGCGGGTGGATAATGATGCAATTTCTGATAACAGTTACTAGCATTTTGTATTCCAAATTGGGAAGCATGTTTATTATACTACAATTCGGTTACATTTGATGGTAGTACCTTTGGTTGGTAGTACTTTACAGTTACTGAATTCTGTTCAATTTAGCATGTCTGGCTTTCTGTAATGAAATTTAGTAAATTTTGTATGCTTGTCTTGTTGAGTTGATAGGGGGCAAGCAGAGAAGGAATTCAAGGTCGAGGTCGAAGCGATTGGGCGTGTGCGGCACAAGAACTTAGTGCGGCTTCTAGGATACTGCGCAGAGGGCAATCAGAGGTATTTTCTTGCATGTGCACATTATTTGGTAACCTTGTTGAATTGCAAAATCAAAAGGTTTGATAATGTAAATGGTGTTTATGTGGCTCTGACCAGGATGCTTGTGTATGAGTATGTCGACAACGGGAACCTAGAGCAGTGGCTCCATGGGGAAGTTGGACCTGTAAGCCCTCTTTCGTGGGATTCCAGGGTGAAGATTATACTGGGAACGGCGAAAGGGTCTGTGCCTTGTATCTCATTGTTGCGGCCCAGTGAATCTTGCTGCCATTCTATCTGTTTACATAAATTCTGCTGTTCTGTAGGTTAATGTATTTGCATGAGGGACTTGAGCCGAAGGTGGTTCACCGTGATGTCAAGTCGAGCAACATCCTCCTTGATAAGCACTGGAATGCTAAGCTCTCTGATTTTGGTCTAGCAAAGCTTCTAGGCTCAGAGCGGAGTTATGTCACTACACGAGTTATGGGAACTTTCGGGTTAGATTCGGCACACTATGAACATACCCCTAGAATCCCAGATGAATGTTCATGGTTACTAATTTTTTCCACTCTCTACAGGTATGTTGCTCCAGAGTATGCAGGGACTGGAATGCTAAACGAAACAAGCGATGTATATAGTTTTGGAATTCTTATCATGGAAATAATATCCGGTCGAGTACCGGTGGATTATAATAGGCCACCAGGAGAGGTTAGCGACCACATATTGCCAATGCTCGTTTATGATCTTGTTAACTGGATTTATCAAATCTACAGATCAAACTTTTCAGGTTAATTTGGTTGATTGGCTGAAGACGATGGTGAGCACCCGGAATTCTGAGGGGGTCGTTGATCCAAAGATGCCTCAGAAGCCTACCTCTAGAGCTCTGAAGAAGGCTTTGCTAGTGGCATTGCGGTGTGTAGACCCAGATGCTCGTAAGAGGCCAAAGATCGGCCATGTCATTCACATGCTTGAAGTTGATGATTTCCCGTATAGAGATGTAAGTCAATAGAAGTACATATCCACCTGTTTTTCCAGTACTTGCCTTTAATTTTGGGTGACCAATCCCTGTTAACGTTTCATCACCAAGCTTGCTTAACGTTCCTTCAGACCATATGACGGAATCATCTGAAAAGCTGATTTACGATTCTTGATTTGCATGATATCTCACAGTTCAGACACTTCTGAGTTTACCTGCTCTAATTTTCAGGGGAAAGCATTTCTTGTGTTAATCACTAGCAAATGTATTGAGGTTTCAGATTATATTTGAACTTATCCTGAGGGACCATAATCTGTTGGATATTTCATCAGCTCATATTTATGTCGATTTATGTCTACTTTGTGATTTCAGGAACGACGAGGCGCTCGAGCTCCGGTGCAGGCAAGAGTGGCTGACAAACCGGTGGCCATTGAAGCAGGCGACCGTGAATCCGACAGCAGCGGTAACAACAGCGCGCGACAAACCGAACCCTTCAGATGGAGAAACCCAGAGTCCTAGGCATTTGTTCAGAAATTTTCACTTGATTTCTTGAACAAGAACAGTGTCCACCACTGAAGTTGCAAAGTGCTCATTTGTTGCCTTCATCACCATATCATCTGTACATGCCGAAGGAACATATTAGCCCTAGTAATATTTTTTCTCGGTTTATTTATCCGATTAGAGACACTTTTGTATGAAAAAAGTTACTCTTCTAAGTTAAAAGAAATGGAGCGTAATCAAATCCCAATGGTATAAGAAGGGGCCAGTTGCTGCTTGTGTCCCTTGCTGGACATAATACTGTGGTGTAATTTTGGATGTCAGATGCCAACTTACCAAGCTAATATTGGTATAAGAGTAAATATGCAAATTGTTTATAAGCTACTCCTGAAATATGCAAAGTGTTTAAGGTTGTGTTCTTCCCCTTTTTTCCCAACTCACCTCCTTTTTCCACGCGCACACTTTTCAAACTATCAAACGGTGCGTTTTTTAAAAATAATCATATTAATCCATTTTCAAATTTTTTAAGCTAATTTAATTAATCACGTGTTAATGGGTAACACCGTTTTGGAGAGGTGGAGTTCCCCAACTCAGCCTAAGCCCGATCATGCCTGCAATTTTTCTGTACCACTGCACCTGGGATTCTGGGAATGTCTGTATGTTGCTGTACTTTTCAGTGTATTTGTATACTCCAATAAATCAAGTTCTTTTAGATGTTACTCCAATAAAAGGGTTAGTAGAAACATTCAAGTACTACGAGACATGAGTGACTAGGACATGTATAGTTAGCAGGTCACTAATCACTGATGGAGTGATGGACATCAACGTCTAATCTTGCCTTGGATTCTACTACTAGATTAATACTTAAAACTCTACTTTTCTGTTGAATATGCGCCTAGTTGTTCTCTTGACTTTCTATCAGATCTACCATTAAGTAGAGTACTTGTATGACACTCCTTCCATTTTGAAATACTTTGACACTTGTACCAAACTCACCGTCACAAAATTCCTTAAGCATTACACGGCCATCCCTTTCTGACTGAATAATCAGCATCGATATTTTTTCATGTTAACGTTACAAAAACTGAAATAATTTGTTTTCATCAGGAAAAGAAAAAGAACAATTGACTGTCGGCAATGCATTTGTCATGATACTGAACTAAAAATGATTCGCTTGACCACATCGCGAAACTGCCAACAACCAATTTTGCATTTTGCAAAATCAGATCTCTACTGGAGATTAGAACAGTACTCTCTCCATCCAAAAAAAAACTCATCTTAGAAAAGAACGTGACCCCTTTTAGAATAATGAACCTGGACAAAAGGAAATCCAGATTTGTTATCCTAAGAGGGGATGTGAGATTTTTTTAGAAAAAAGGGAGTAGTACAGATTAGAGAACCGATGCAAAGCAGCAACAATGAGAACAGCCTGACCAAAAATGCCAGGCTACAGTACAGATAAGCAAAGAACACTGTACAATAAATGCGCAGGAGAATCCGAGACGGGGAGACCCTATCACCGTCCGCCACGTGTCCATCGGAGAGGCGGGTGTGACAGGTCAGCTCCCTGCCTGGCTGGACGGACACGTCGGCGTCCATTTGACCGATTCCTCGTTAGGTTCGGCGTCCTCCTACCTTTGGTTTCTTTTTTCGATCGCTTTTTGTGTGTTGGTTGTTTCTGTTGGCTTCGCTCTCCCTTTCGATCATCCATCCGCCCGCCCGTGGCGCTTCCGCTGCCGCGTGCGTGCGGTCGCTCGCCGTCGGCGCGCTGAGATGGACGGCGACCGTGCAGCTGCCGCTCGAGTCCGAGTGTCGACGGCGACGGATCGCCCCCGCTTGGTTTTCTTCGTCTTCCTGCCTCCTCTTGTGCTGCATGGTTGTTATCAGGAGGGACGCTTCTGGGAGTGAGGATTGGGATTGATATGGGAGTTGCGGCAGTAGCTGAACATTCCGCCGTTTGTTTGGGCTCCTTGATTTGGCAAAAAAAAAAAAAAAAACTGAGGGCCTCTTTGAAACGGAGGATTAGCAAAGGAATTTTAGAGAATTCATTTTCCTAAGGATTTTTTCCTATAGAGCCCTTTGATTCATAGAAAGTAGATAGGAAAACTTCTATAGGATTGCATTTCTATGATCAATTCCATAGGAAAATAAGCAAGATGTTAGATCTCTTGTGAAACTTTCCTTTGTTAAGTGTATCCTGTGGTATAATCAAAGGGCTCTTCTCTCTATTTCCTGTGTTTTCAATTCCTGTAGGATTGGAAAAACATACAACTTCAGGACCCCTTTGATTGTAGGATTGGAAAAACATACAACTTCAGGACCCCTTTGATTTGGAGGAAAAATATAGGAATTTTGGAGAATTTCAATCCTATAGGAAAATTTCCTAAGAAGCCCTTTGAAACAAAGGATTGAATCATATCCAATCCTTTGAAATTCCTATGGAATGGACAATCCTATAGAGATTTTGGAGGAAATTTAGCAAGATCTTTAACCTCTTGGTAACTTTCCTTTGAGTCTATCTCTCTCATCCAATTCATGCGATTTTCTTACGATTCAATCAAACGGTCATTCCTGTTATTTTCCTACATTTTCGCAATCATCTATTTTACACTTACATTCCTATCAAAATCCTACGTTTTTCTTATTCCTACGTTTTCTCAATCATACGATTCAAAAGGGCCCTCAATTTCTACGTTTTTTCTATTCCTGCATTTCAAAGGGGCCCTGAAATTTTGGAGGATTTCAATCCTGTAGGAAAAATTCCTATGAATGTCTTTGAATCAAAAGATTGAATCTTATCCTATTCTTTGAATTTTTTATGGAATGAACAATCTTATAAATATTTTGGAGGAAACTTAGCAAGAGTTCAAAGCTCTTCGAAAATTTCTTTTGAGTCTATCTCTCTCATCCGATTCCTGTGTTCTTCCTACAGTCCAATCAAACGCTTATTGCTGTGTTTTTTCTATGTTTTGCCATCCTCTGCTTTACACTTATATTCCTTATAGAATCATGTGCTTTTCTTATTCTTTGTTTTTTCATTCCTGTGATTTAAAGGGGCCTATGTCGACGTTTAATGTCGCGATTCCGGTATTTGCATAGTATAGGGATCGTTGGTACTAGGATATATGCGAGATCGTAATAAAAGAGATGGAGGCGAGGATTTTTATACAGGTTCGGGCCCCTGAATTGTCAGGTAATAGCCCTACATCCTGTTGGCCAAAGCCGGTCGTTGCTCTTATTCATCATAATCACACCAGTACGATATTTGGGGTAGCCTATCTAACTGTTGTCAACTTAGCGGACTGAAGTATCATCACGTAGTCGACAACAGGGTAGTCTTCCTCCTCGAATCCGTGCCCGACGAGATCAGAGATAGCGCTAGATTCCTCTCTTTGGTTCCCGTAGGTACCATATGGGGTTTTCCTAGGCTTATCTCTGATGTCGATATCTGGCAGCTTGCCTTGGTGTATGTTGGCTTGTATGTTGATCTTGTGTCTTGATCTATTGTTCCGTGTCCCCTCTCCTCCTAGGGGACCTTGTATTTATATCATAGGTGCCCTCTTGTCCAAGTAGAACTAGGGAAACCAATATGGATACAATCCGAGTAGTCCTTGTCGTTTGCATGTAGAACTCTATTCATCATTCTTTATACGGAACTCCTCCTATATTCGAAGGTTGTTTCCGTATAAGACATGGTATGTGGTGGATCCTGCCGAGATTTAGTCAACTACTATTAGGTATGTGGTATCCATAACCCTGACAGCCTAAACGTTACATGAGTATTTTAGTCTACTGCAACAACTATAGGACACGATACCTTTAGGGCGTTTACAATGCGTCGGGCAATTTTGTTGTTCCTGGGATGCTAGGTAGGATGAGGAACTTCACAGGTCATAAGACTCACAGTGCGAAATCCCTGTGCAGACTATTTTTAGTGGGTCACACAGGTCACAAGTCACTTTTTCATCAACCCTTCCTTCTCTCCTTCCTGCTTTCTCCTGACAAATTGTAGCTTTCTCTGACAAATTTTGAGGAGGTTTGGGTGGCTAAATGAAGCTCCCCGTTCCTGGCTGCTCCTCCCTCCATGCCGATGTGGCTTGGAATCTACGCGCTGGCGAATAGAGGCTGAACGCCACCTCACCACACTGGGAATGGCCTTATATCCTTTCCGATAGCAAATTGTTAGCTATACTTATGGTCAGGTTTGGCATAAAATTGTTAAACATCATTAAGGTCGTATATGGTAGTGAATGTTTCCAATTTCCACTTCTCATTTTTTTCACACAGGTTTATTAAATTGTTATTAGTTCATTTTAAGATTTTTTAACTAATACTTGATTAAATATATGCTAATTCATCGTTTTATTTATGTGTTTGAAGGTTAGTTTCCAACACACTAAAGAACATGGCCTCAAACATACTCCTAGGTTTAGGCACCGCAGCTGCATCACTCAAATGATTACTAGTAATTGGAAAGCGAAAGTGTAGAATTAGTCGTGTTCACCTGCACTAATAAAATAATGTAAGTTAGGTAACATGAGACATACAAGTCCCTCTCTAGGAACAAAATCGAGGAAAGAGTATATTACCCTCGCAGCGCACGAGATCGTGTTACAGGTACAAGTAGTGTAGCAATTTGCAAAATCAGTTCAGTTCACGTTGCATCGATAAAGGACGCTAGAAATGGGTGAAACTAGGCTTTTCTCAAGACTAGTGCTAAACCATTGAAGTTAGCAATCCATCCTTTTAGAAATTGTTTGTCGTTTTATGTTTGTCCTAATTCAAATATTCATAACTTTAACTATCAAAATCAAATTAATACAATAACTTATTGAATCTTTAGAAATTAATAGTTAGAGTTAGGAATGTTTAATTAAGATAAAACTGAAACAAGTAAATAATTACTATTTGTGATCACTTTCTAATCATACTAATATGTTCTAAATTAGCTAGAATTTTAATTTGTATGGGATGGTGGTAGTAGTTTTTTACTGTATTTTTTTCCACCAACGTCTGGGGTTGTGCTAGGCCACTGACGCTAACAATGATTGAGGACACACGAACCAATCCCCTTGTAGTCCTGGACGACCCTGTAGGCTGGTATTGGTTTGGCCATGAGTTAGTGTTATCATTTAAGATAAACTAGGATTCGTGCACGTGCAAGGCACGTATAAAAAAATAGGAATTATAAAATATAAATTACATTTAAAAATTAGGAAGTATAATAAAATGCCAGAACCAGTGCATAAACATATTTTGTGAACATTCTTGCTCTTCATCATCTATTGAATTGAAAAGGCTGTTAATTACAAAAATAACCAATAGCAATTAAAATGCAAAACATATTTTGCATTTTTATTCAAATTAACGCCGCGACACAGTGTAAAACATATTGTTTTGAAGCACCAAACCAAGCTACAGAAGTAGGACTGAATTATTTATTACATAAATAATTATGACCTGAACATTATGTAGAACTTGATCTCTGTTCAACTTGTACACATCCTGAAAAAAATGTTGCTTGGATTCAGAGCATGATAACATCAAGCCATCTTAATGGTGAGCAGATGACAGAATTCTGATGGCGTCTTTGCCTCTTTGGTTTAAATAAGTGAATCACAAATTTCCTTTCATCAGTCATAAACAGTTGTCTACTACTGAATCTACAAGAAGAGAAAGCACATGTAAAAATCCAATGACTAAGTGACATATCAAGCAAAATGGATAATCATCACAAATTCATAACAGAACACTATCCAGCTATCCACAAAACTGGACTAAACAAAATCGGGTTACTTCCACAAACAATTTAAATGTCAACTATAGAACTTAATGAATAGATATGCTTGGAGGGGTTTGAGCAGTAACTAATTTAAATTACTCGTGGTGTTCTCCCAAGAACTGTTCAAGAACAAACATGCATGTCTCACATTAGTTGCCCATCGACAACAGTATGACTAAATTCCAAATAAGTCCATTTTTGAAAAATTCGAATATCATTTTATAAACCGATTTTTTTAGAGAAGGCCTGAAACAAGGCCCATACAATGAAAAGGAAAAGCATACTGGATAGCTGGATCATTTTTTTACATCATTAAACACAACCAATTCAGGGATGACAATGCTGGATTTAGGAGAAGCTACATTTAAGTAACTTAAGGTTTCAGACCTCACCGGCAGCCTGAATGTAGATTGAAATTAAAGCAACATCCCAGCACTATTAGAATTCATCACTTTGCCAATAATTATTAAATAAGAAAATAAAAGAAACAATTTGTCTTTTTTTTGAAAAAAATGTCATCAGAATTTTCTAGTAAGAGAAAGAAAGAAAGAAAGAGCAACAATATTTGATTCAAAGCAGAACTAATTTTGGTCTGGAGTAGGCTCATAAGGAAATTCAGCGGTAAACTGATAATTTGTTAATATAACTCCAAATTGATTACCATCTTCTAAGACCAAGCTTCACTTTCATCCTCTTCTCATCCCACATGGAAGGATCATTCAGCTTGCTCAATTCCATGATCTATTCGCTAGGCCCGCAAGAAACAATAATCTGGATAAATGGTCAATGCAAAATTTAATTTTCCATCAAAATCAAATTGTAAGCATGAATGCAAGACCAGTCAGACACTGGTGTGTGAATCTCCTGCTGCACAGCCACTTTTTCCGTGAAAGAAAAGCATGACCAATGTTTATTTGAACCACATCCAGTGTCGCAGTGTAGGCTAATAAAAGTAATAATGCCTTGCCTGTACGGACGATGAATGTCATATACATCATGACCATTGTTGAGACCAAAAGATCTGCTAATACCATCATGTTTTTAGCCTCATGTTTGTCAAATGCAAGCCATGATTAATTAATACCATCATCAATATTTGCATGTATAACACCGTTGTCTTTGAGGATATAATGCAACATTTGGGGGGAAAATAGAGATAAACCTTATCATGCTCAAGCATGTCTTCTCAATCAAATATTTCAAAATACCTTGTGACTCCATGATTTCACTTATGTCTCTGGTATGCTGATGCAGAGGTGCACATCTCAGTATTAGTGCTTATACACAACTTCAAAAAGAAAATCTGGGACAAAGTTAAGTATGCATCATGAGTTCAAAAACTTATCTCCTTCTAATGGCAGCTGCTTAGAGAACTTCTATTTTCTAATTGTAGAGAAACCATCAAACTGCCATCAAATATTACAGGTGCTAGCAGTATTACACGAATTTTGAAACCCCGGCAAATAATACATCCCTTGGTAGTCTCTATCCCCCTAAATTGCAGTTTAAATATATGTTAGCTTTGTACTGATCCACCCTATGTGTTTATAGAGAATCAAGCATGCATGTTTCCAAGTAAAGGAAGCAGGAGATGCAACAAGTCCAACATGCAGGAATAAAGCATATGAAACTCCTCGTGGACTGACAGGCAGCTAGGCAGAAGAAATCATACCTATATCCTTACTTTTGTCCACTAAAATGCGATCAATAGCACAACAAGAGGGAAATGAACAAAGCTCCCTTAATTTTAAAGCCATTATATCAAGCACCAACAGAAGCAGAACATGCGCCTTTCAATGCAATGATGCAAACCAACATAGCTTCAGCGAAACTGAGTTACTTTGACCTTAAGCGCGTCCAGAATCATCAGATCGAACCTTCCATAATTCCTCATGCACATAAACAAAATAATTCCAGTCGAATCAGCCGAACTGGGCTAATCGGGAGACATTTCACCAACTCCAACCGAGTGATCACGGAGAGAGAATGACGTTGGGCACCTTGATTGACGCGGCGACGATGGCTGTCGGCACCGGTTTCCCGTGCGGGAACCAACACGGCGCCGGCGGGGGCAGGCCGTGGTGGAATGCTGCGGCGGCGGCAGCGGCCGCGGGAACAAGAGATGAGGCGCAGAGCGAGGAGGCGCGCCGCGAGGAGTAGTGCGGGGGCAGAGCGATTAGCGCGTGCGGACGGGAGGAGAGAGCGATTAGCGGATTGAGGAGGCGCGCTGCGCATAATAGCGTGGGGGCAGAGCGATTAGCGCGCGGGGATGGGAGGAGGGAGCGATTAGCGCGCGGGGACGGGCTCGCAGAGTCGTAGGGACGCGAGTGCAGGTGGTGGAGCGAGGAGATTAGATGAGATGCGGATGAACGGATGAGATTAAAGGTGATGATTTGTCTTGTAGGATTGGAGGGATACAACTCTTTCTTTTTATATTAGTATAGATATAGATATAGATGTTTTAGTGTTTTTCACTAAACCCCTAGTCTTGTTGTAGTATATATTTGGCCATCAGAATCTCTTTCAGTTTTCAATATAACTTCTATGTGATACCAAGTGAGACAAGACAATCAATAGGACATAGCTCCAGAGTAAAAAGGCCATCCCAAAATCAGACCATGAAGGTAGTGGCGACGAAGAATTTTGAAATGAACAAATTTTGAACGAACTGAACTAAATCATGTGAAATTTCTAGACAATTTTCCATTCCAAAGGAGCCCTGAAATACTCCTTTCAGTTTTTAAATGATAAAATTTGTTAAATTTTAGACATACGATTTGACGTTATCTATTAAAAGTCTTGTCAGTCGTAGATGGGTTGGAATAAATGGGCTAGACCCAATTTATTTTTGATAAATTCCATTCGCCCACAATTAATGAGGATTAATACCACCTTGAAAAATTTAAGTGGAGAGATTTCAACTTAAATAGGGAGCTGCTGCTACTCTCTGGACAGGAATTGAATGGGATTGAATCAACACAATTCAATGCCATTGAATCAAAGTCATTACCCCTATAACAAATGAGAGAATCGGCGAGGCTGTTGCGCTCTCTCTCTCGTTTTGTAACGGACATGAATTGAATGGGATTGAATCAACACAATTCAGCGCCATTACCATTTGATTATCGGATTGATTATGTTGTTTACTTTGGTAACTGATGAGGAGATTCCTCTCCCTCTCACACACTATAAAAGGCCACTACCGGTAACTGATGAGGAGATTCCTCTCCCTCTCGCACACTATAAAAGGCCACTACCGGGACAGATAGAAGACACACAAGTGCGGAGATTCCTCTCCCTCTCGCACACTATAAAAGGCCACTATCTCCCTCTCGCACACTACAAAAGGCCACTACCGGGACAGACAGAAGACACACAAGTGAGGAAGATTATCGGATTGATTATGTTGTTTACTTTGGTAACTGATGAGGAGATTCCTCTCCCTCTCGCACACTATAAAAGGCCACTACCGGGACAGATAGAAGACACACAAGTGCGGAGATTCCTCTCTGTAACACCTTGAAAATTCGACCAACAAAATCAAAACTCTAAAAATACGGATTTTCAAAAACTTTTTAAACTAATTGCATCATGCCGATCTTATTCGTCTATTTTATCTGGATTAGATCTCGAAGATTATTAATCGTGAGTAAAGAATAGTTAATTAGAAATAAACCTTAAAAACAAATTGGTAAAATAAATATAAATTAAAAATAAAGATTAGGTGTGGATAGTAATAAATAAAATATTATCGCGACCATATTTCGATCAATTAAATTTCATTGCGATGGAATAAGAATTAACCCTAATTAAAGCTCAAATAAATTATATAAAAATAAAATATGAGTAATATTAATCTAGGGTGAATTCATTAGTTAAGATAACACAAATATTGAGTAAAATGCATATATGTAAAATTAGGAATTGTGGAATCAAATTTATATGGAAAATACACTAAAATCGGGATAAATAGGAAAAGTCACTGTTCATTGCGCCTAAGGTGTTCGATGTGGTCCCTAGCCTTCCCCCTCCTCTCCCACCTCTGCCCCTAGCCGCCCCGAGCCCGTCCATCGCGCCGCCGCTGCCACGCCGTTGCCGCGCCGCGCGCCCGTCCCGTCGCGCCGCTGTCCCGCCGCCCCGCGCGCCCACGCACCCGTCACCGACCGTCCCGTCGCCGCGCCGCGCGCCCGTCGTGTCGCCGCTGTCGCCCCGTCCCGTAGCCTCGCGCCTCGCGCGCCGCCTCGCGCCCCGCGCCCCGCGCGCCGCTCGCCCATCGCGTCGCCGCCTCGCGTCCCGCGCCGCTGCCGCGCCGCGTTATCGTCGCGTCGCCGTCGCCGTCACACCTAGCCGCGCCGAGCCCCGCGCGCCGCCCCGAGCCCCGCCGCCCCTCCCCTCTCCTTCTCCCCCTCTTCCCTATAAATATCCCCCTCCCACATTCTCTCCACTCCATCTCCCCCTTCCTCTCCCCTCTCCCCTCTCCACTGCGCCGCCGTTCCCGTGCCGCCGCACCGCCGTTCCCGCGCCGCCGTGCCGCTCCTGTGCCACCGTGCCGCCGCTTCTGTGCCGCCGTACGCCACCGTCGCCACCGCCGTCGTCGCCGCTGCCGCCGTCGGTGAGCCGCCCTCCTTCCCCCTCGCGTCCACCGCCGCCACCGCTCGGGTAGGAGGGAGAGCCGAGAGAGAGAGAGCCGAGAGAAAGAGAGGAAGAAGAAAAGAAACTGAGGGAGGGAGAAGCCGAGGAAGAGAGAAAGGAGCCGGGAGGGAGAGAAGAAAGGGAAAAAGAAAGAGAGGAGAGAAAGAAAAGAAAAGGAAAAGAGAGAAAAAGAGAAAAAGAAAAGGGAAAAGAGAAAGAAAAGAAAAGGAAAAGAGAGAAAAAGAGAAAAGGAAATAAATAGGAAATTAGAGGGAGTTTGGGGAAGTTTAGAAAATTTAAAATAATTAGAATTTAATTATAGATTAATTATAGTCGTAGAATTGCAAAATTTAATATAAATTATGGATTATTCTTGGTAATTTCTATAAGAAATCAATTCGCGGTAGTAATTTAGATGTAATTAATAACTAAACAAATAGATGAATTCTTATAGATTATTATAGATTATTTTTGGGTAATCCCTATAAGTAATCGATTCATGGTAGAAATTCGGATTTAATCGCTAGGAATTTTAGACGTATATTATATTTAATCGTTTAGTCATAGACTAAATTAAATTGCATAATATTTCTAGGATTTCGTCCAATATTTAGCTCGTAATAGAAATTTCTAACCTATTATATACAATACTCGGGGAGAGTAAATTATTGACAACGAAATAATTATACCCGCAAAATAGTTTAAATCGAAATTGGGTTTGCCGTAGTTCGCAGATAGTGAAGTTAATAAAAAGGAATCGATTTTCGCATTCGACTTTCATTTGGATTTATTTGGATTTTTATTTGAATTCTAACCGAATTCAAATCAATTTTTGCACGTAACTATAGAGCCCGAGGGAGTTGCGGATCCAAGCGAAGGCCAAGACCCGCAAGACTTTGAGCAAGGCAAGTCATCACTATTCCTTGAACATGTTGATCCCAATTGCGAAATTGTTTTGTTTACAAATAAAATTGCATGCAATGATGAACATCCTACTTGTGACTATGCCATGCCTTGATTATTGTTAAACCTTAAATCTTTGTAACCATGTTTACGTATGAGTCCCTAGTCAACTATGACAATTGCTTAGAAATGCTGTTCTAGAATCATGCATACTCATTTTTATCAAATGCTATATGCTTGGGCAATTACCTTTGGGAAGGTAATTGAGATGCGGCATGTGGAGACATGAGCGCCACATTGCCATGATGTTGATGACATGATTTGTGAAAGGAGAAATAAAATTAAACAATTGTTTTCGACTGGGGCGGACGGAGGATTTGGGTGGTATCTGGAAAAGGCTAGTACCGTCCCCGGTCAATTAAGGACCGAGCCATGAAGTTAAGCATGAAACGACCCCCGTACAACCGTACTTCTCGAATGGGTATAGACCTAGCGGATTAGATAGCCGAGCGGAGGCAGTATCCCTGCATAGATGGTTCACCCCTGAGTGAGGCAGGTGCGCTACGGTGGGACAGCCGTTGAGGTAGGGCCGAGAGGCGTGCCCTACATCGGTGTCGCCATTGGTAGGACTGCCATGAGTGTGTGAGAGAGAGAACTTAACTTGAACCATAATTTAATATGTGTGTGAGACTTCTCTTTCCCGGGAGCGCCAGAACTCCTCTCACTGCTAGAAACATGGACGCCTAGAGTGCATGAGGATTTAAGTTCATGGAGCGGGTACTGCCAATGCGAGGTTATCGAAAAGCTTTGCCGTGACGCGTCTCATGTGTTGGGACGAGGCTCATGTGTTGGGCAGTCGTGGAGTGCGGGTAAAGTGTACATCCACTGCAGTGTGAGTAAACCAAATCTATTCGAATAGCCGTGCTCGCAGTTATTGAGCACCGGGACATGTATTACACTTGGCTAGACTCTAAATTCTTTAACTTGTGTGGGATGGGATACTGCATGATGATTTTTATGCTGATGGAGCCACTTCCTGAGAGGCGGGAATGTGGACGTCCTCAGAAAACCATAACGACTCAATGGCGGGAAGCTATCCTTGGGATCACAATGGATGGTGGACAGAACCGTCATTGTTTAATATGAACACTGGTATTAAAACTTGAACAGTCTATGCTAGGTCTTAGGCTTGTGAAAAGAATTACAAAACTTGCTTTGCGCAAAAGAACCATAGCCATCCTTTGAATTTCTCTGTCATGTGCATCATTGCTGTGGTGGCTTGCTGAGTACGGTTGGTACTCACCCTTACAAATATAAAATTAATCAGAAGCAGGAGATGAAGCCTCGGAGGATCCCTATGCCTACTACCAGGAGGGAGATGAAGACGATGGCGTTCAGTAGGTCTTAGTACGGTCGTTGCCTGTGGCAATGGCATGCCGCTGCCTGAATTCCGCTGCCTTATCTATTTCTGCTTTTGGATGTATTCCGGACCGCTCGGTCCGATGATTTAAGACTATGCCTGCGGGCCTATGATGTAATAATTCGTATTAGACACTCGTGTATGTGCACTTGGTATTCCAGCTATGAATTCGTGTGTACCAAACTACTTGATCCAGGGAAATGGTACTGTTTACACGATTGATTCCTGTTATAAAAATGGGGGTCCACAGAGCTGGTATCAGAGCCATACGACTGTAGGAAAAGACCAAAAGGCGCCCCACCCCTTTTCTAAGTTGGCCAAGGGAGAAATTCCCATTTAGTAATACTTTCAAAAAAATAAAAACGCTATGTTTACAAAACTCGGTACAATTTTCATCTTACTCTTAACTATTTTCTTTACA